AAGAGAGATACGGGGTCTAGCCCCGGAAGTCGGGGCGAAAGCTGCTCCGGTGCCCCTGGTCTGCTGGAGACCGTCTCCAGCAGACCAGGGGCACCGGAGCAGCTTACGAACGGGGCTATCTCGCCCCGACTTCCGGGGCGAGAAAGCCCCGTTCGTAAGTGCAGATCCAACGTAAGTCGGATCCGCGTAAGTCGGGGACTGCCTGTATATACAAACAGAAGGAACAAGGTACCTGACAAAAATACACTGGTTAAATATTCAAGGATGTACTTTTCATTGTGAAAACCAGACTGCTCATTAAAAAGGTTTTGGAAGTCTAATTTTAGGCAAAGCAGCGAGGAGTCCTGTTGCACCTTATAGACTAACTGAAGTGTAGGAGCATAAGCTTTTAGTTTTAGGCACTTATTTTTTAAAAGTAGTCTTGGCAGTAAAGATTAATGGCTACATTATCCTATTATCAGAAAGCTGTTCAATCTCCCACATATACAGTGAGCTTCCTGACAGTTCTGGTTAACTTGTAAAGTGCAGGATTTGGGTAGACAGCTCCTGTAAACTAATGTAAATAGAAAGCTTTGGCAGTTTATTTTGGATGAGTGTCATGATTTAATCAGGTGATAAGCAGTTAGGATATTCATCCCTAAAGGATGTAGGCAAATTTGTGTAAATGGATTGGAAGACTGGTCAATGAGCATTTATCATAAACGCAGAAGATTTACTCTGCTTTCCTATTTGCTGCATCCATATTCCAGCCTTTATCCTATATAACTCTATCACCTGGTTTTGGAGCCCCAAAGCTTCCACTGCAATTACTACTGCTTATCTTTAAAGAAAGAAAATAGGAGGAGGGCAAAATTAGCATTTTTGCTAGGTACCAGTTCATATCTTTGTGTCATAACACTTTTGTCAACCACTTATTCATAGAAGCATTACCACACTGCTCTACTATTAATGCGCCTCACTACTAACCTGAAAAGATCACCACAAGGAATGAGTAAGAGCAGTTCAGACTCTGACCATTCAATCTTTAGTCTGTCATGGGAACTGCCACCAGGGGTATCAATTTGTGACAATCATATTAATATTTTTTGGTTCTATAACCCATTAGGAACTAGACATATAAGGGCCACACAACAGTGAAGAGAAAATGACTTTCAGTTACAACTGACTCAGATCGGATTAGATTCAAACAGGTGACCTAGAGAGAAAATAGTCCACAATTCATTACCCATCATAACCCATCTATTTTGCCCTTAAAGACAAACTTAGAAATCAGCAATATCCAAGTGAAGTACAACATACAATCAGACATTCCTAATTCCCACAGCATGCAAGTCACAAATTTATAGCATCTGAGATCAATGTTTCCTCCAATTTTTTCCATCCATGTGCTGAATAAAATGTTATGTAAATGGAGGCATGTTCAGATGTGCACCACCAGTAGAAACATATGCTCCTGGCTGCGGGCACTCTGCTAATTAGCTCTGCGGCACCTGCATCTCTCCTGGGTGGCCGCCCAAGCACTTAGTTTACCGGGAACATAACCTGAGACTCCACTGCACATAGCAAGTCTAATGAAAGGTGCTGTGCCAGAGCCAAATGTAGAATCAGTATAGTTAAAATATGTTGCAATAGTACTGAATATTGAGCTACATGCAAAAACAATGCATTATAAAAAAAAAATCAACCATTGTTTGTGTTTCTGGAGGGGTTGGAGTCAGGAAGCATTTAGCATATACATAAGTTTTAATTTATGCTTTTAAGAAATCTTTTCTTCCCCAAACACACCAGCACTACTTAGCTTGCTACTTAATACCTCATGTCTTCAGTAAAGCAGCTATTGATAAAAATTTCACTTAAGGTGAGAGGGAGAAGGCTTAAGGAGGGTTTTTTTTAAGTTATTTCCCTTGCCCCCCAAAAAACCTGGTACGTGGGAGCATTCATTTATTACTACTGGATCTTATTCAAACTTTCATTTCAGTTTTGTTGCTGACTTTTAAATAAGAGGTAATATTTCAGTTTGCAAAGAACAATGAAATATGCTTAAAGACTGTTTGATGTCCATTTGCTTCAAACAAATTTATTCTTCCATCTTCCCCAATTGTGTCTGATTATAACTCTAAACTTTTTAGGGTACGTCTAGACTACATGCCTCTGTCGCCAGAGGCATGTAGATTAGGCTACCAGACATAGGAAAATGAAGCGGCGATTTAAATAATCGCCGCTTCATTTAAATTTAGATGGCTGCCGCGTTGAGCCGACAAACAGCTGATCAGCTGTTTGTCGGCTCAGCGCGATAGTCTGGACGCGCGGGTGTCGACATCAAAGCTATTTGTCGATCACCCAGGTATACCTCATCCCAGGAGGCATACCTGGGTGGTCGACAAATAGCTTTGATATTGACACCCGCGCGTCCAGACTATCGTGCTGAGCTGACAAACAGCTGATCAGCTGTTTGTCGGCTCAGCGCGGCAGCCATGTAAATTTAAATGAAGCGGCGATTATTTAAATCGCCGCTTCATTTTCCTATGTCTGGTAGCCTAATCTACATGCCCCTGGCGACAGAGGCATGTAGTCTAGACGTACCCTAGTGTCTTCTTAAATTTTAGTTTTTACTTTCTTCAGAACTGGGACATTCTCTTCTTGTTTTGCGAGGTACTCAAAAATAACACAAGAACACATTTATAAAGCAAAAGGAGGCTTTCAACTTCACAAAAATTCACTAAACATTGTTACTCTATGGCTTGACTGATTTAAACAGCCATACAACCGTTAAAATATTTATTCAGAATAAGACCATACAGGGAATTACACTAATAGGCATCTGGGTTTGGCAATATGAGTGAAAAAAAATCTATCCCACATAAATGGTGTCCAGGAATATCTTAGGGCTATTTTACAGAAGCAGGAATAAGTTGCTCATTTCCAGACCACTGGTCCCTTCTCTCAATCTGGATGCTTTTCTTTTAGCTCATCAACAAACAGCTCCAGCCCCGCAGTCACCACTCAGCTGTACATAGCAGGGGGTTAATCTGGAAAAAGCTGCTATTGAGACAGAAAGATGGGCAGGAACATATGAGCTGCCAACACAGCAGCCTGCATGGAATAGAAGTTGTTGGGAGAAGATGAGAAAAGAGGGATGAAAAACTAAGGTACCAACCCAAGAGACTGAAATGGAAAAGAGCAGTGCTTTTTTTGTGATGGTACTGCCCGGTACGGAGTACCAGCACCTCCAGTTAGAGCTCAACAACTTTTCCCTTGGAGTACCGGCACCTTTTTTTTTTTTTTTTTTAAACAAAAAAAGCACTGGAAAAGAGTGTTTAATCCTATGAGCCACTGGGAGCCACAGATGACTACAAAAAGCCAACAGGAAGAGAAGGTTGAACCATGA